TTTCAAACTTAAAGCTACACTATGCACATTTGGGGGATCTGGAGACCTCTCTGGTGGAAATGTGTAACTGCATACAGTATGCAGAACAACATTCTGTAATGTAGGCTGTGCTTTGGATCCCTTCCCCAAATGGATGAATCTGATGATTGCAAGTGCGTTGAAAGAGTATTCAATGAGAATTCAGTCAAAACTTGGTGAAGGACGTGTGTTCTGAGGATGTAAGTGAATGATCTACTATTGATCTACTATTAAGTCATCATATCTTCATCAGTATAATGTCTATTTTGCATTTGAGATGTTTCTTTTTGAACCTGTGTGTGTCTGCGTTAATGCACAAAGGTGTGTGACATGGTCTGAAAAATCGGTCCTGACGTCTTTAAATCATTCTTTAGAGACTCACAGCAGCACACACACCATATTTTTGCATGTTTTTTCTCCTGACTCAGTAATGCTACTACTTTCAATTTTAACAAAAAATCTCACACAGTGCTACTTTAATTCTTGGCTTTAAAATGTAACAAATTCTTTTGTAAGTTTAAAAACGTTGGTCTCTGTATGGCCATGTCCATGCATGTAGGTTGCTACCATAACAAACTTTTAATTGGGACTGCAAATTTCAAATGAAAACAATACCAGGAAAAAAAAACACCATACAGCCACGTAAAACTAAACATTACACAGCCACATAAAATACGGATTTATCGCTGGGGATATTACAGCTACAAACCCACCATGTGGTCCAGTGTGTCCAGTTATTTTGCCATTTGGAGACATAGGCTGATCATGAGCACCACTCCAACTCCCCCCAGCTGTCCGTCATGGTCCACATAGTTAAAAAAAAGGGGAATCCCTGAACTGGGCTGCACCAGTTTTGTGTAAGTTTATACTTAAGTTTGTTCATAAAGTCTTTACTAAGTCATTAGTTAACACTAGTTAAAGTTATCCTTTAGTGACTGAGTCCTGTTGCAACTAGTAACAACTAACTAATGCATACGTTGCTTGTTCAAAACTAGTCTATAAACCTGCTGCCATTAAAACACAACAGCAACTTGCAATGACTTTTTGCATTCCATGGAAATGGAATGTGAATAATGTGTACAAATTTATGTTTTTACAATTAAACTGACGAGTACCAGTATTGTTTGTTTATTACCTGCTACTGCTATTCCTACTTGCAATATCCGCATGTGCAGCCTTTTTAAAAAGCAGTTTCTGGCCAACCAACAACAACAGCAGCATTGGTTTAGACGTTTCAGCTGCTGTTGTGTTTCACTGAACTGGAGCTATAGGTTTTAGCTTCAAGATTGGAGCTGAAAGTTAAAAGGTTTATGATTGGAGCTGTAAGCAAAATCATGGCGTATAGAATTTATTGGTTTTAGCTTTGTTATCTTAACCAAAACAGTCAGGGCAAGTTTGCTCCCTCTGCTTAGGAGGAGGTGTAAATATTTAGTAACTGCTAAGCTCAATGTAAAAACTAGTTGGTGTGGTGAAAGCTGTTTTGATTTAGTAATGTGCACCTGAACTTATTAAACAATAATGTTACAACTAGCTTAGGTCAGAACTTACAGACAGGTGGTGCAACTGGTCCCTGGTCACACGCAATCACTTGCACATGCATGGACACAAATATGCACCTATACTTGAACAAACATGCCCACACTCTTCTGAAGAACCAACTTAAGCCAAAAAAGTCTCTCTTAGGGTCTCGTAGCACTGCGCACCAACTCCAGCATGACCCTCAGACATGTACACCATAATGGGCTAAATAAAGACACGGGCAGGCTTGTGAACATGACCATGGCAGATCTTGCTGTGTGACCCCTGCAGCTTCACCCACTAGCTCCCCCTCCCACTGTCTCCCACACACATCACTCTGCAGGACATCTCACCACCATCAACTGCACACAGCAGGGAGCATTACACATCTTTCCCGTACAGTAGAACCATGTCAGGATTGTTTAGCTTGCCCTGGAGGCAGGACTGTTTCTGAAGTGAGCTTTACCCTACCAATCCAGGACCAGACGAAGAACCGCATCCAGCTGTACTTGAAGGTTTCATGATTACTGAGATTCTGAAAAGACGTATCATAGACAGACTGTAATTCCGCTACAGGCCAGCGACTCTGACCCAACATTAGCCAACAAACATCAGCATTCTAATGTTAGCAGTTGGCTCTATAATGTTCCAGAATAAGAGCTGCCAAGTCAAATTAACCAGTTTGTATAGAGGAAAACATTCTAGAACAGTGTGAATGTAGGAGAACATTTTAGAACAGTGTGAACGAGCAAGGACATGCCAGAACAGTGCGATTGTAAGAGAACATTTCAGAATGTCATGAATGAAAAACAATTAAGTTCAACGTGAATGAAGGAGAACATTCTAGAGCCGTAAGAATTGAGAACACTCTAAAACAGTCTTAATACATGAGAACATTTTAGAACATTGTGAATGTCTGAGAACATTCTAGAATGGCATGAATGGAGAACATCTGAGATCAATGTGAATGTGGGAGAACATTCTACAACTATATGAAAGTAGAACAATGTTCTAGAAGAGTGTGCATGGGAGAGCATTCTAGAACATTGTGAAAAGTGGGACAATATTCTAGAAGAATGTGAACGGAGAACATTTTAGAACAGTGTGAGAGGGCGAGAAAACTCATGAACAGTGTCAATACGGCGATAGCATTCTAAAATAGTGTGAATGAAGAACATTCTAGAACCATGTGAAGGTATGAAGACTTTTGCAAGGTGTGAAACGAGAACAATCTAAAACCAAACTGTTTTTTTTTGTTTTTTTTTACAAATGAACACTTACTGCCCAGACAAATAGCTTTACATATCATTTCTGAGCTTTACATATCATTTCTCAGATCTCAGAACTTTTGCACAATACTTATATACACATATAAGCAAAAACAGAAGAAACTGGGAAGGGGCAAATACTTTTTCAAATCACTGTACATGTCTATTCCTGAACGCTCTATTTTTAAGAGTGGGAGAGAGATAATAGGCAGGGGTCCAGTGACTCTCAAGACACTCAAACACTGAAGTAATCAGACCCTCAGCTGGACTGCACTGCAGTCACTAAAATAATAAGATGAGCCAGAGAAACAGAGAGAGAGAGGGAGACATAGAGAGAGACAGAGAGAGAGAGAGAGAACAGAGAGAGACACAGAGAGAAATTACAACCTGTGCAATTCTATAACACACCTTTCAACATTTCACTACCCAGCCAATCTTCATATGACATCCTCAAATAGATGCTGATGACAATACATGACACTTTATAAATAAAAGAACCAACACAAGCTCCATGGCCCACAACGCAGCACGTAATAAAGCACAGTCGGAGATGAAAAGGTAGGTGTGAAGGTGAAGGCAACAGAGCAAAAAAGAGGAGGAAATCAGAAGAGAGAGGAAAAAATGTGTACATGTACTGCATAAGTGATCGTGATCGTGCACGCTGTACACTGCAACATCTAAAGTGCATCAAATTACACACACAGGGCATTGTTGATTGGTCAGAAATTTGACTGGGAAACAAGTGTTCTGGGTCTCTACAGATTAATGAATCCATGCTTTCAGAAAACTACTACTCTATGCTAAGAAAATGTCACTTTCAGTCAGTTTCACATTTGAGCCTTTCTCTAGGCTATCACTGAATTAAATACAGATCTATGCCTCACACTTTTTCTTGATATAAATATTTTATCCTACCCCAAAATTTGCAGTAAAATACAGACGCTTAAAATACATAAATCACAACTAAAGCAGTATCAATGAATCTTATTTGATTTCTGCAGCTTAGTAATTGAACGGTTTGTCAGTATGAATTCAGTCAGTGATGAATTCAGGTTGGTGATGTTTAGCCAAAAGTATGCTCCACAGTCCATGTGCCAAAATCAAATGCATTGCTTTGTTATTATTTTATTTCTCATCTGCCGTTGTTAGCAAGAACTATGAAGAGATGTGTGGATATCTGTACATATGAGATGTGTGGATATCTGTACATATGAGATGGGTGGATATCTGTACATGTGCAATCAAAACCAAATGAAAAAAGATATAATGTCACAAAACCTCAGACTCTGATTCAGACTTTAGAAAACAAACTAGGTGTGAAAACAGCCTGACACCTAACTTGTTTAGTGTGGACCTGCTGAAGTTTTTCTTCAGTCTGGTCTGTTTTGACAGGTGTGGACACTCCACCTGTGCTCAGGGGCACACCAAACAGCTGAACTGCCTTCTAGTGAACCCTGGTTAAGCATTTTTACAATGGGCATCACCAAATGAGGATACAACATCAGAGCATGCTGTGCTCTTCTTGTAGCAGCACATCAGTGCTGTACTGTCCACATAATCTGCCTGTTTTCACATCTGATTCTTTACAGATGCTCATAACGTTCTTGCTTTTGATTTTGGCACATGGATCGTAGAACATACATTTGGCCCAGAATCAGTTAAATTTCAGAGGCAGATATCAAGTAAGATTTACTGTTATACTTTGACTGTGATACATTAGACAATAAGTGTCTCTATTTCCATGCAGAGTAGTTTTTTTGGCTTAAATGGTGGCAAAGGTCAGAGTATCAGAGCACTTGTATTCCTGCAAAATGTCTGACCCATATACAAACGCACATGTATAATTTGCCACACTTTATCCATTGCATCGAACTGAACCAAATGAAAAACATACAATGTCAGCAAAGACAAACTATTTGAGAATGCTGAGAGAAGGAACAGCTGTTGCAGAGGTGAATCAGGGGCCAGGCCTGCTGCACCCGCACCACGGCCACTCACTAAATTTAGTCTGCAGGCTTCACTGGGCCTTCAGCTGTCCACACATGACACAACGTGATAAAGTGACCAAAAGGAGCATGGGAAGACTGACACTGCGATATTTTAGTCACAGGTTTATGAGTCACAGTTTGAGCAACTTTGATTTGCAAGCCATGTGCAACCATGTATGTGCGTAGGGGTGAGTTTGTGTGTACTTACAGCCCTCATAGATGTCAGTGGGGATATGAACAGCTGTGGAGTTGTATGATACGAGGCGCTTAAAGACTGGGTCTTTTTTGAATTTGATTGGTCTTTCTGCTTCTGTGGCGTTGAGCTGAAGACACAAAGAACAGCGTTACACAACATCTAAACGGACAGATGCACAAATACAGACCAACCATTCAAAAGTTTTTGCTTGGAATTGCCTGTCCCGTTACACATTTTTGTTGATTTACATACAACAATTACTTTATAGAGTTGTACACAATAATACAGTGTAGAGTTCAATTTAAATTAGACATCAAATGGAATTTTAGATGTTTTAATCAATATTTCAAGTATGTGTGGAAGAGGAAATTATTAAATAAAAAGCATTATGCAAAGGACATATATTTCCATATATTTTTCAAAATATATGTTATGTTTGTAGTATATTTTAAAATATGTTTGGCATATATATAAATATAACAAAGTGTCACTATTACATACATTTCATATGCATATGTGTACATATTTCAATATAGACATTATGTTCATGTATTTAAATGTTACAAAATGTGACAGTCGAATATTAGCATATCCATTTTTATACGAGCAAATAAATGTACATTTGTTTTTCTTCCTCACTAATGCTCTTGTGGCTGAACGCAGCTTAGTCCTCACAGCAATGTTTCAACATCTAGTGTAAAGCCTGCTCAGAAGAGTAGAGGCTGTTACTGCAGGAAAGGGGGGCAAACGTCCTATTAATATGCTTTTATACCCATTAATACCCCTTGTCTACAAACTCGTGGACATACAGAGCATTTTTCCACTACACGTAGAACCAGAACGTTTTGCACCAGGAAACTGGAATGTGCTTTTTCCATTGGCCATTGGTTCAGAATCAAAGGGTTATTGTTTTTACTACCTGATCAGTAGAGCTACAAACAGGACGTAACGGTACTCAAGAGCATTCTCCTCTGTGTTTGCTAATAGTTGCAGCTTAAGACAATGAATTGATCAAATTCTTTACTCTTCTAATTGAAGATAAGGTTACCAAACACCATAACATGTCCAGTAAGTGCACCAGAATGTAAACTAGGCTGCTATTGATTGCTATTTTTAGAATTATTACTTTGCAAAACGTTTGCCAAGGTAAGCTAGTTCAGAAGCTAACACTAACGGTGTCAGCGTTTATGCTAACCTTACAAAACAAGTTTTTTGCTCCTATTTTCACACTTCACAGAAAAATATAAGCTTTCTTTGATTCTACGCATGTTTCTGTGTAAATGTAGACATTTGCGTCAGTGTGTAATCACGGTTATTAACCATTTCAGCTGTCTTTCAAACAGGTGGAAAATGACCTAGAACTAGATCCATAAGTTCCTTCGGTTCCAGTTTGGGTCAGCTCTTGTTTTTAAATGTGTGGCGGAAAAATGAGGCATTCTGGATATTTTATTTAAACTTGTATTATAACTTTTTTCTTGACGCCATCCAACTTTCTCTGTCATTTTGAAATCAACTACCGCTCTGTGCATCATTCTGGTCACCTTCTTTTGCAACTTTCTCCTAATACATTTATCTGGAGCCAAGTTTGTTTGTTTGCTATTATTGATTCCAAACCCATGAATAGTAGAGTATATCCATATCCATATAGTATATATGCAAATCCTTACATACATAAAAAAAAAATGATGATGTCAATAATCTACAGGCATGTATTCATGAGGCCATGAATGATCTGCTTCAAAACTTTACTAGCCAAACACATTTTGGTTGTATTTAGTGTTAGTTTAGTTGTACTGTGAAAATAAGAACATGCTTACCTCGACTTTTGCATTGTAATATTTAGCGACATCCTCCTGTAAGACAAAAGATACAATATTCATTTAGACTACAACATTTCTGAATGACTGTGTCTCTTTTCTGCAGTTGCGTGGACTGATTGTGTGTGTGTGTTTGTGTGTGTGTGTGTGTGTGTGTGCATGCGTGTGTGTGTGTGTGTGTGTGTGTGTGTGTGTGTGTGTGCATGAGTGTGTGTGTGTGTGTGTGTGTGTGTGTGTGTGTGTGCGCGTGTGTGTGTCTGTCTCTCCTCGGTTCCTCTACACACTCTGCACACACTGTGAAGGCTCTGTCAGGGTGGGAGATAGTCAGGTGTTAACGAGCGCGCACACTCTCTGACAGACGCTCGCCCTGGAGACACTGCTTAGCGCCACCTGTCTATCAAATGAAGCATGACAACGGCTGCCCCGGCAACAGCTTAATGAGGAACACCTGTGACAGCTGCTGGTGTGAGCATTAAATACTAACTGCATTTGTGAAGTGTTACAGATGACAACACACACACACACCTTGGAGTCATACATATGCCTCATACATATTATACGGTCATATTTAACAGTTTAAACACCCCTGGTTAACACATCCTCTACAGAGAACCCACTTAAATATGACATTTTTTTATGCCAATTTTTGTGCACAAATTCTATTTACTTGTACCTATTTATTTGAGAAGTGTAACATATTTAAAAATAAATATAAAATACAAAACGTGCCATAACTTTTGCACAGGCCACATTTTATATTTGTTTGTTTTTTTTTTCATTATGTTAAATTGAGCAAATAAACAGTAATTGTGCACTGAAATGTGCAGGAGCGTGCTCTTTGTGGAGGATGTGTTAAACTATTTTCACTTAGAAAATCAACATGAAATTTGACCAGGGTGCAAACTTTTACATACAAATGTATATATAAACACTATCTGAATCCACTTGCACACAATAACAGAGAAAGGTTTACAGCACTTTGCTTTGTTACCGAGCACCTGAGTTGATCAACAGAGTGATTTTAAAAAAATATCTCTGGTTCCAAGAGAGCATCATTGGCCTCCCTCTCCTCTAATTACTCGCACGATGCTAGTCAATGCGGGCATCTGCTAGCTAACATAACAGAATTGGCAGTTAGAGTTCTCCACCAAGTGTGTTGACCTGTCCAATCATATAAAAAGCAGTTTGAAAAGATGTGGTTGCGCTTCACGTGCTAGCCTTCACGCTCTCAGTTTGGTGGCACTGTGTGATAGGGGTGACCTAGCTAGTGGGTGGATCTGGAGGAGGAGACAGGTGACTTGCTGGAAAATGAATGGGAAAGCTCAGAATACTCCCACCCTCCGAAAGTCCCACCCGTGAATAAAAATAGCCAACTAACTTCCTGGTAAAGCAGCAGCAGGAAAAGCCCCCCTTATTGTGGAGATCTGCACATGCAGCTAAAACAACCTGAAACAAAAAGATTTCTCAGTGATTTCAATCTGGTTTTGAAATGTTACTGTGGCACTCAGGTTTGGATTTATGGGCCTCTTCCCATTTAATGAGATAGGAACCTGGAAATAACCACCTGGAGGTGTTGATGGTCACTGAGTAGACAAACTTTCCCAAGGACTTTGTTTGGACATGTCTAAATTTAATAAAAATTCCCACCCCAAACATATGAATAAATACGCATGTAGCTTTACAAAGGCATATTCTTGCACCTGACACTGTAGTTTAGTCCCATTTTCCCTCTGGTCTGAACAATGCCTACTGCGATCATACACACGCAAATACACATCAGCTCAATGGGCAAAATGCATGCGCCCAATATCAAAACAAACACTGACACACACATAAGATCTAATACTGAACGCAGTATTGTACTTCATGCTTCATGCTTCAAAACCACCTTCTTCCCAATACAGCCTGGCGTAGCAGAGAAATGAGGAGCTGAAAGAAGAACAGCTGTGTTGTCTGTGTGAGTGTGTGTGGGGAGAATCAGCAGACATGAATGGAGGGCTGAGTGACTGTATGAAGCTCTTTGTCTGATTCTCACACTGAATTTTAATACAACTCCCACACATATCACAACCCACTGGCTCAAAACAAAACATGAGCACTATATTAATCCGTGCTTGGAGGCCAACACGGTTTAGCTCCCAATAAGCATGAACCACAGTGCAAGAATTAGAGCCCAACCAACACATTGGTTGATCGATAATATAGGCCAATATTGACGGCTGGTTGCTTTATCATTATTGATCTTGTGATGAAAGGGCAAATCCTTAGACAGCTGTGACATTCAAGAATTCAGAGTCCCCTGTTTAACTATATGACTACATACAGGCTGAACCGGTGAATATGAACACAAAACATCATGATGGCTACAATAGCAAAAATGTAAAATGTGTCCAACCATAACATTTAAGCATGAGCAAAACATGATATAACTCAAAAAAAGACACAGATAGACGCAAAGAACTCTGTAGGTCTGTAGCTGGTATCATGCACAGGATTAGGAACTCTGGGTCTAAGCTAGTTTTGAAATATGACTATTGCTAATTGACGTCATAAGACTGGCAACCTCACCAAAATACACCACATAAACCAGTAAGCTTTGCAGTAGTTAAGTTGCTAAATTAAGTGTTGGTAAATAATAGTGTTGAAGTTTAAAGGCCTCGTCCACATATACAAGGGTGTTTTTAAAACAAAGCTTTTTCTGTGCATTCTTTCATTCACACACAAACTGCTTTTAGGTCACTGAAAACAGGCCTTTTGGAAAACTCTTTCCAGGGTGAAGATATTTAGTAATTCTGTCCTCAGTGTTGTCGTGTAGACAGGGAAAAATGAGTTTTTGGCTTGTTATGTTAAGAGTGTGCGCCGTTATCGGCTTTGTTAGACATCAGTTTGTGAACCATTATCACCTTTATTTACATGAGGCGATTTTGTACAGTGGCAAACGTAGCTAAAATAGCTGGTTTTAGCATTGCTAACAGGACTTGTTACACATAAAGTTTACACATAAATGCACAGAGTACAAATGTACTCTTACACCATACTGAAGAACAGAGGCATCAGAATGCGCTACAGAAGTCACTGCTATATCCAGCACTCCCACCACACGGACCCCACCGCCAACGTCACTAGTTTTGGATGAGACCTAGTCGGACCTCTAGCTGGTGCAACAAGTCTGAAAATGGAAGTGGTTGTTGCAGAAGAATGACGAGGGAGTTTCTGTCAAGGACATTGTTGTGGTTGTTGAGTGAGCTGCTGACTGCATGTTTTTGCGTTTTCATGAGGACAGAGATTTTTTTTAAAAAACAGTGCTTGTGTGGATGGGATTTTTTTTTAAAACGAAAACCTCAGTTTAAAAATACCCATTTACGCATGGACTAGTCCTAAAATCAGGCTTACCTTTCATGTGACATCTTTTTCAGTGCACAGGAGTGTTAGCTTGCCTGTTGCATGTGTGTAGCATTATTTGTATTTTGACTGCTAAACAATCCTATAATTCAGAGGATCCAGTGACACACAGTGGGAAACGTACCAGGTTTGGGACATTTTTGTTTACCACAGGGTGTAATAGTGGTGATTTTGAAAAATGTCATTCATTTTTCTCATAGAGAACACCTGATTAGACCCTTAGAGTTCCTAATATGGTCATGACGCCGACTTCAGAGCTCTATAGAAAAATAAATGTCGTTTTTGAAAATCACAGCTGTCATGTCCTGTGATAAACAAAATATTCAAAACCTGATACATTTGGAGCCCATACATTTTTCCTAGTACATGCCAGTGTATTTGGCCTATAAAGTGATTCTGACTCTGTGATGTGAGTGATTTATAAAAATTCATTGTAGTGAAAATGTAGTAAAGGGTGTAGTACCTCTGTGACAGTTAGTCACTGGTCCTCAGGGCGCACACATGTGACTGCTGAAGTGAGAATTCAGTGTGTGTGTGTGAGATGGTGTGAGTTTGACAGCTCTGAGTGTTGTCTCTTTGATAAAGCTGCTGTCTGCTACAGCATAATGAGAGCTCTCTGGCACTGAGCTCTTGGATAAAGACCAGTAAAGGAGGTGTGAACTTTTGTGACCCCACTGGCAGAACAAGACTTACTTAATGAGTGTAATACAGGAGCTCCATCTCTGTCTCTCTCTCTCTCTCTCTCTCTCTCTCTCTCTCACACACACACACACAGCAGGGAAGCCAGAAGGAGCTCTGAGTTACAGACGCATGTTTACATGTATACATGTGACAGAATTTGACGACCTGGCCATTTCCAGGTCACTTAGGTCACACAGAGGGTCATAGTATAATCTCTCTCTCTCTCTTTCTCTCTCTCTCTCTCTCTCATACACACACACACACACACACACTCACAGAGTACTTGAGGCAGTGAGGACACTGAGCAGGATCACACAGAGAGCTGCTGAAACTGAGAATTCTGCTCTCGGCACTGAGGACTGGCTGAAATCACAGCACAGCTGTGCCTCTCCACTGCTTTCTTTTCTTCTCCTTCTTCTCTTCTCATCTCTTCTCTTCTCTTCTCTTCTGTACTTTTTTCACTAGGGCGAACACACCAGACAATGAGGCAAAAAACGAGGGTGCCATACATGTAACAAGTTTTGCCAATCACTCGTTCAGTTACATCGCTGGCCAGCTCACACTACAGGACTCCTGAATGTTTTCAGTAAAAATCAAACATCTGAAAATAGCAGAAGGCCTCCGATCACTCCAGCACTCGTTCGGAAGGCTAGATTGACTCATTTCCTCTCTCATACTATCAGAAAAAAATCACTTCAGATAGTGAAAACCTATTAAAAGGGCCAAACTGTAATTAAAATTGGGCCAAAAATCACATAGTGTAGATCTAGCTTTAGAAACAAACACTCAACCCTCACTATTTGGAGTACTCACTCCTTTCACTAACTGCCTTTTTTTGTACCAAGCTTGAAATGAGGTAAAACTAAAGTAAAATTTGAGGAATTTATCCTTAATAAGTGCCATCAAATAATTTCCAACTCCTGGCAACTATATGGACAGTGTTTCTACTGCACATTTTGCCTTTATGTAAGCACTGGCCGAAAGAAAATTTAGACATAAGGGTGAGTGCAGATGAGAGGAGATTTGAATGGCTACAGAAATATGACGTTCTAAGGAGTGCAGGATTAATGAGTCTGTCAAATGCAGTTGCGACTATTCATAAATGTTTCATTGTCAGTTTTTAAAATGCACATTACAGCATATTGCTGACATCTGTTAACATTTCTATTAATCCAACATGTATCTGTCTCTACTTTGCAGAAAAGGTCCTGAAACATCTACATAACACTGCTTTCTCTGAGGAAACGTCCTGTACAGAGACACTTTTTAAGCCTGATCTAAAGCACTATTGAGTTCTACAGTCGTTACTGATGATGTGTGCACTTAGTGATGCAAGACAGCTGAGATCATCTTTAAATAACCTGAAGAGTTTAAAGTGAAATTCTCTCTACTGGATGACAACGATGACTGTGCTGTGATGTTTTTGGGGAAGCAAAAAAACCCAGCAGTGCTGAGTTCAAGTTGGCATCTGCCTCCTACATTGTGATTCATCAAAGGGTGACTGTCACATTTACGACTCTGGGGAAGTAGAGATTTTTGAAGTTTACTGTGTTTGAGAGCAGATTTAATTAGGAAGTGAAAGTACGAACCCTGCAGTTAATTGAGATTACAAGTTTGATCCCCAATGATACCACAGTCACCCATGGCCAGGAATCCAAGAAAGCATAACTGGCCACGCCCTGTCTGGGTAGGTAGGATGGTCCTCCCTCTCTCATCATTCAGCACAATGCTAGTCAATGCAGGCATCTGTTATCTAGCGTCATAAAATTGGCAGTTAGTGTTGTCCTCCAAGCGCAATAAGCTGTGCAATTACATTGCATTTGTAGCAGTTTGAAGGACGTGGTGGCGCTTCACCACGTTATCTTGGAAGAAGGCCATGTTAGCCCTCACTCTCCCAGCTTAGTGGCACTGTTTAATAGGGGGAGAACTGGCCATTACTACACTACTACACCACTGGCAACTAACTTGAGTAGAAAATCTTAAAAATGACAAAAACAAACAAAAATGGAACCTGTTCATCTTCCACAGGAAACAAGTCCAATCAAAAATTGGTGGGTCATCGCCCAATACTGTAGTTCCAGGACCCCCGCTGTTGAAGATCTGAAATGGTATAACTATCATTGGGTTTTATTTCACCACGTGGCGTTTCAAACACTACCCGGCCCATTCGTACATGCAGCATATTAGCACAGTAGCAGATGACGCTCCTTGTTCCTGTCAGGAAAACTGACCATATGAAAGAAGAGGCTGTGGTGCCCAGAGACAGTTCTATCGACAAAGCAGTCTGCATCAATTTTCAGTCTTTGTGGAATTATTAAACGTGATACGAGTATACGATCATGATTGCGGTTTAGCTCAGTGACATGCTGACTCAGACCACAAGCAATGGAAGCACTACAGAATGAAGACAGTAATCCCAACCTCTCACAGAGCATGGCTCACACTGTCACTCTCGTATTCAGCTCAAGCACTGTGCCTCAGTAGAGCCGTGCAGAGGAAACCCTGTTCCTATCCACATACCAGGACGTACAGTGATTGGTTTAAAGTCCCAAACAGGAACTTAGCTCCTCCTGGATTAGCTCCAAGCTTACTCACTGAGCTATCGGTATTTCCTCAGATAATGGCAGCCCAGAAGTTGTTATTCTGCTGTAATTTTACTGTTGCCCTAACAAAGACTGATTAAACAGATACTGTGACTCTTGGATGTGGCTATTCTGGGGTTAGGGCTGGGTGATACTGTTTTAAAAAAATGATCTTAACATTTTTCAGACTTTTGGAGAAAAAGGACAGGGCAGAGTGGGCACAACCTAAACATATAACATGAATTTTTCATATACTTAAACAGGTTCAAATAGAATGTGCTTTTGGTCATCTTTTCATAATCTCATAGCAACATCATATGCAAATTCTGACAGTAAACAAATCTATTTCTCAAGATTCTCCTAGAAGCCTGTTTTTTGTATCACAGAGGTGTTTTGCTCATCATAAGTGTTCATTGACCACTGCATTGTGTGTAGAAATCACACCTGGGTTTTTTTTTAAATAACCCATAGTGAGAGTTAGCCAGACCAAAGCACAGCTTCCACATGGTGGAGGTAGTTTTAATGCTGTGTTCCAACTCAGCCTCCTAAAGTAAACAATGGGAGAAGTCCATATCTGCTCATATAATTTCAAAACAGTACATTTATACACAGAAGTCAATCAAAACTTAGATTACTATATATTACTGCAAACAAAAACTAACCTCTAAAAACAATGTCTTCTACGTTGTGGTCAAAAATAAACTTGATATAAGCTTTTCACTACTTATGTTCATTTTGATGCATACATATCATTGCTGTCAGAACAAAACATTGTGTAACATTTTTTTAACAGAATTTGAAAATGCCAGCCAACCTTTCTAATGTGTTAACACAGTTTCACAGTGAATAGACCAATAGAAATGATCCAAAATGACTCAGACAAAAATCTTGTTCTAGTTTTACCTTCTGCAAAGTTACCATTTTTGAGTTATGAGGTTTTTATCACAACAGCAACAAGCTTGTCTGGTTCAAAAACATATAACTGCATTGGATTAATTGTGTTTTGCATCAAAATACCAGACTTTACACTTTATATCTCATCCATTGTAACTACAGTGCCCTCCACAAATATTGGCACCCCTAGCAAACATGAGCAAAACAAGCTGTAAAACACATTCTTTATTACTTATACTTCTGAACTTCACAATTTGTGAACAGGGCCTGCAATGCAGGGCCTTAAAAGCCAGTACTTGTTGATTATGCTGAATACAAATGCTGTTCATTCAGGTAATTTTGGGCAGAGGGAATGATACTGACTAATAAAGGATCCTGATGCAATCAAACACGCCTCCTTTCACACATTGCAGCACAGAACAGAGATTAATTTCCCTCCTCTCCCCTTCCTCTCTCCCACACATCATCCCCACTCCGATACAGCTCCGAGAACAGGAGACGTGCGTGAATAAATGAAGTAACTTTTAATAGAAAAATAGAAAATAATTAATGGCATGCTGAAGTCTGTGATTATGTCCTCCACTTGGGGCCTTCCAGGGTAATGAGATAATGCGAGTGGGAATGGAGTTCAGTCTCACACCCAGAAAAATAGAACGCTTCGAATCAAGCCAACTGCCTATACTGTCAGGCTCCCCTCATTATACCTAATCTGGACTATAAATCAGGAAATAACTCTGTTAAAATGACTCGAAAGTTCAGGCAGGACCTGATAGACAAATCTGTAAGAGACAGCCAGCATCTGTAAAACCTCAAATTAGGATTGATATTCCAATTCAGTAGTCAATTTGAGGTGTGTCAATGAAACAGTGGTCAGAAATGAGGTAGGATTACATTGCTGGTCAGGAACACATTGATTAGCTGAGAATCCAGAAAGCAATCTAATTCGGACTGGCACGGGTGCGTGTTAGACAGATGGGCTGCTATGCCCTCTGCGCTCCACATTTAATAAGGTCCAGAAGGTGAACATCATGACTTGGACGACACCAACACTTTCTAAATCAAGGCGCCAATGTTTGCGCTTGTGTGTGTTCTTACCTCACTTATATCATCTTTCCACTGGTGCTCCATCTGTAAATCTTCAGCTTTTTTAGCCAGAGTCTGAAAATACAGAAAAAGAAGAGAATGTATATTCATGTATTATACATAATAAGATTTTGCACAACATTTTAGGTGTCTGTTGTTACATATAAAAAGATATATACTTTATATATTTATTATATTTGACTAAAGGCTCTGTTAAAGAGCTCAGTTCATGTAGACCCTGTGCTCAAATAAGGCAGATACACGAGAAGTTAACATCTTCTTAATGCTAGTACTAGAATGTGTTGACCAGAAACTTTTATTTTACCATTCAAGTTAAATACTAAAAGAAAAGAAGTTAAATACTGAAGCCCCAGTAAACTTAAAGAGCTAACTGGAGCTTCAGTATTTAACTAGGGGCCGATCTTCAACTTAATGTGTAATACAAAAAATAAATGTGCTCTGGAAAATGCTTTACTTACTTTGCGGTTACTACTTAACAATGTACGGAGCAGCCAGTTAATCAGTAGCTACTGGCTTATTAAGGCTTAATAAGAGCATTATAACAGCATTATAATGTCCCCTTATACTGTTACTAAATGTTATAAGTAAAAATGTTTACAAATAAGTCGGATAATCTTTTTATGTTCTTACAAAATCACATAATAAAACAACATTACACATATTACCTACATATAGTTTGTTTTCATTTGCCAGGATGTCATCTGTTTTGTAGTGCATTATCTTGAAGCAACTTTGGCAGGTCAGTTTGGCTCAGTACTGACCAACAATGTGCAGCTTTGTCAACACTTCCCAAACTACATGGACAAACTGCACAGCCCACATGCATGTACGTGACTAAACCTGCAGCAATCCAAGCACAGCTTTGAACCAGGCAACAAAAATAGTGTCAGCAGTGTGCTATGCAGCAGCAGCTGAAGAATGGCCCTCCTCAGTAAGAGCCACATTAAGTTCAGCACCCTGAGGAGGGAAGACAGGCTTTGGCATAACAGGATGTCACGCTAAAATTAGATCACATGCTGCTCTGCCCCACATCTCCTCTAATGACTAGGTTAATGGTACATAATAGGGGCCGATCTAGAAAGTGACTGTACGCTTAATTTCCCCGGAGAAGACCCATAACTGATTTCTTATTCTGTCAAGTAAAGGCTGCTACTGGAGTTGGGCCAAAATTAGAAAAAAAGGGAGGAGTCTAAAGCCTGTCAAGTTTCTGGCAACCGCGAAAAACATGTAACAGAAGAAGAAGAGGAACAACCCATACAAATAAATGAAATTAACCCTTAATTTATTAACCCTTAGAAGTCAAACATTACCTCTGTAGTTTTACTATGCTATGTAAATGTAATTACAGGCAGTCTTATGCAAAAGCCTGGCTGCCTACATGTTTTGTTCATTTCCTAAGTGAAAATAAGTATGAAACACATCCTCTACAAACTCATCTAAAATATTATAATAAAAATACAATATTAAAAAAATAATTAAAAGATACAATATGGTATGTGGCCAATTTTTTGTTTTCTTTTTTCCATTATGTTAAATTCAGAAAGTAAATAGAAATAGAAATTGCTTTAAAATGTACAATGTGCCCCTATAAAGTACATGTACTTTCATCAGAATGTAATAAACATTTGCACATGGCCCGCCGACAGGCTCAAGATTTTATTGCACACGAGATTTTATTATAACCTAAAAATAGCTCCATTAGATTGCACTGAAGTCCCTGTAGTTACTGAATAATAAGCCTTAGTATGAAATAATGTAGATTGTTAAGGAGTTAATTACATATTTGTTTACACAAATAATGACAAAGAAACATCAAGAAATGACAAAACATGGCAAAAATGTGAAGGGTGATTGAAAGAGTTTTTGACTGCTCACACAACAACAAGCTTTCAATAACACTGACACTACAGTAAAACACCTCCTCTTCCTCTTCTATGAAAACAAATGCGGTATCGATTGATATAGTACCTGCACAGAATGTCTCAGCTTGTTTCAATGAGCCACGAGTGAGGAAGAAACTAATGCAAAATCACAGCATGCTTTTGTTATTGCTACCAATAACTGTGATATCTAAAGGACACCTCACACCGGGCATGACGCAGTGTGCCTGATGTGCGGTGGCCTTAAGGGTTAAAAGTATATTACAATGCATTCTTTTAATACACTATATGTCCAAAAGTATCGTACATGCTCATCTAATGTTTCTTCCGAATTCAAGGGTATTAATAGGAAGTTTGTCCCTCTTTCTTGCAATATCAGCCTCTACTCTTCTGGGAAGGCTTTATGCTAGATGTTAGAACATTGCTGTGAGGACTTGATTGCATTCAGCCACAAGAGCATTAGTGAGGTCACATAATGATTTTGGATGATTAGTTCTGGATCACAAACTCCACTCCAGCTTATCCCAAAGTTATTACATATATCACTCCAGAGAACCCAGTTCCACTGCTCCACAGCCAAGTGTTTGGGGGGCTTTATACTCCTCTAGCTGATGCTTGGTATTGGGCATGGACACCTCAGCCTCAGTCTCTATGGAGTGTGCGAGCAGTGAGTTCACTTTAAAGTAGCTAATTAAAAGGGTGTCTGGATACATAGAGCATGTTTGAATATACTGACATAACAACAATGTATTTCATTTTCACAGGAGAGGAATGAGGAGACTGTGGCTGCAGCTGTGTTCAGTGCTGGAACAGAACTGTGGTATGTCAGTTTCTGTCTTGGTCCAAAGCTGGAGAAAAGCTCCTCAGGCCACACGAGCCTCGTTCTTTCACCACAAACTCAGTCCACAGTAGCAATGGCGAAGGCAAAAGCTTTTACACTCTTTGTTTGTTACTAAAAGCCAGCAGGGAGAGCAGATATACATCAGATTACATAATAACCCCATTTCACTTTAGTAAGGTGCCAGGCTAGCATTAGCATGATATTAATGCTGCCAGCCAAAATGGCAACAGAAGCAGATTATTAATGCCATAGAGTAAAAGCAGCACAGCCACAACACAACGAGGGCTTTGTCTGCACTTTTTTTTTCGAGAAATACTGGATCTGTTTAATGTAGTCAAGCCTTAAACAGCACACTAATTATCATGTCTTCTGCGCTTGTCTTAATGCTGTTATTAAGCGCCTGTTGTGTTGAAACTGCTGTTAGGATTCAGTATCGTGTTGGGGGGGGTTTATGGGAAATGTCATGTAATAAATCCAGGAACAGTGGCTATTTTGTACTAAATTGAAGGAATACTCAGCATTTTCCAACCTAATCTACATCTACTGCAAGTATAACGTATGGCTGTTGTCAGAACTAAACACTGTATCTCCAAAACATTGTAACTTTGCAGGAGAAGGAGCCAAACTTCTGTACTTTCAATGTACGTTAATGTAACGTAGGATTTTATTCTAAGTCATTTTGGACCTTTTCTATTGGTCCTTTCATCACGAAAGTTACACATCCTCTAGAGAGAGAACACACTTCTGCATATTTTAATGCTCATTTACTGTTTATTTGCTGAATTTAACACCCTGAAAAAAGTAAAATATAAATTGTGGCTTGTGCAAAAGTTCTGGCACATTTTTTTTTCCCATATGTTACACTTATTAAATAAATAGAAACTGTGCACTAAAATTAGCAGAAAGATTTAGGTGTTCTCTGTAGAGGTTGTGTCAGCTTATTTTGACTTCAAAAAATTTTTCTTTTAAAATATTCTGCAGCTCTCTATATAACTGGGAAGCTTAGTAAAAAAAATGATAAATAAAAATGGTAACAGAAGGTAAATCAGCACAACAATGAACAGATCCAGAGGGTGCTAACACTTTTGAAAACACTTTTTACATTCATTCCTCAGCAATTTTGGATGAAAGGTCACAGGAGGTGCAAACACCCACACAGAGCACACTGATCCAGAGTTAACAAACATGCATAACTCATCGTCTGCTACAAACTCTCTCCCCTCTCCCTGACCAAACAGCTCACAACAGTCCAGCGTCCAGTACCGTTCACAGCCGCTCAGCCAATCACACTCCTAACTAGATGAGCTGTTGCTATAACAACCCTGACGGTTGCGTCTCATTAGCGAAGGCTGGGCTGGGCTGTTGTCATGGAGTGGGCTCCTGCTGCTACGGCGATGTAGAGAAGATAAGCCTTGTGTTTAAGGTGACGTGCTACAGGCCGCTGATCAGCACATCACTGACATGTTTACAAGCACTACAGCCACATTAGACATAAAATAAAAAGACTGTCTGTATTTCCTGGAGAGTGTATGGTGTGATTATTAACCCCTTAAATGGCCAGGGTCCACCGGCAGGCCCAAAGTTTTATTACACACTTCTACAACATAAGAATGACTCAACCAGTTTGCACTGCAGTCCCTGTAATTACTGACTAATAAGCCTTAGTATGTAATAAGCCTGGATTTTAAGAAGTTAAAGTGATTATCAGGATCATCATCATCATAAGAACTAAATATGGCCTTAAGATTTCACCTGCACACCTCTTTACCTGAAGTTGCGTGAATGGGGCAGAGTGCACCGGAGCAGAGCCATTCATCCCACCCGTTGAGTGGTCCTACTGTGCCTTCGTATATCAATAATATAGTATTGTATATTAGTGTTTCTAATGCTTTATTGTGTTGTTTAATGTAAATTACGCCTCTCTTCCATTGTTTTATACAAGCTTAAAGGGGAATTCCACCAATTTTTCAAAATGTCTGCCAAATTAAATGGTTAAGACGTTAAAAAGTCATTCAGAAAGGTTTGAGGTGAAATGCTTTGTTCTACAACTTTGTTCTAACTTACCAAATCAGAATTGTTCACGGTGGTGGTGATAGAAACCAGACGTCTGAAGAGTTTATTGCCTCTAAAAGCTCCCTCAGGAAAGAAACTGTTTTATGATAGTGTGCTAAGCTTTTGGCCTAAAATGTACTTTTTTATAAATCCATTCATGGTGGAGAGGTACTGACAGGTCGTTATAAGGCACTATAGTACCCAAAAACACTGTATTTATTCGGATTAATCACCATTTCACCATCAACAATTTTACATATTAAACTCAAAAATTGTGTGTA